CTAGACCCTTTTCTGATGAAGGGTCTAGGCCCGAAACGTCAGCCTCTCTGCTCCTATGATGCTGCTTGGCCTGCTGTGTTCATCCAGCCCTGCACCTTGTTGTCTCAAACTGGAAGCTATTGCCTCTTCTGATTGTTATCCTGAGATTGGACTAACTAAATAAATCTTATTGTTTACTTGCAGAAGACGATGAGGAAGAAGAGACGGAAGCAAGGACAGGTAGGTTCATGAATAACCTTAGTAATTGTGGGACACGTTGTGGTGTGTTAACATGTTAAGTTATATCATCAACCACAGTTCTATGCTGTTAGCTTTCCTGAGGTAACTTACCCAGATAACCACTGTTCATTTTAATGATAGATGGTGGAGTGTGGCCTTGCTTAAATGAAGGTATAATAATGGGCCTAAAAGGGGTAAATGCTTATTACCAGTGATGGAGCTAGAGTCTTTTTTTTGAGTACCTAAGCCCCCTTCCTGATTCAGGGAATAGGACTTGATGGTGTAAATAGAAATCCGATTTTGGGTCAAATTGGTCCGGACCTGTTCAGTGCAGGTTCTGATCAGTTTCCCGCAACTGAAGAGCGAGCACCTAGCAATGGCAAGTCTTAAATTATTTCCAGCTAATAATGTACTTTTCGAAAAGTGTAATCTCTGTTTTAATGTAGGAAATGCTACAACGAAAATACAGCAAAATGCTATAAATGGCAATATGGTTACGAGTAGATTTACAATAAGCATCAGACATCCAGCTGTAAAATAAAGGGTACAGTTCTAAAAGGAGATGCAGGGGACCTCAGTGTATATGTTCATAAGTCATTGAGGGTAGCAGGAGAGACTGAGAGTGTGATTATAGAACATATGAGAGCCAAGGCTTTAATAATATCAGCGTAGAGCATAAGAGCAAGAAGATTATCTTGATCTTGTGAAAGGCACTGGTTCAGTCCCAGCTGGATTATTCCATACAGCTCTGTGTAACAGACTTTAGGAAGGATGTGACAGCATTAGGAAAGATTTATAAGAATCCAGGGATGAGGAACTTCAATTATGGAGATAGGTTGGAAGGGTTAAGAATTTTTTCACAAGAACACAGGAAATTAAGTGCAGGAATAGACTGTTTGGCCCAATAAGCCTACTGCACCATTCACTGTGATCATGGCTTGGACTCCATTTTCCTGCCCACTGCACCTTAACCTTTGATTCCCCAAGAGATCAAAAATCTGTCTTTTTCTATTATTCATTTGTGGCATGCGGGCATCCCTTGCTAGGCCCAGCATTCATTTCACACCCCTCATTTGCCCAGAGGCCAGTTAAGAGTCAATCATGTTGCTGTGGGTCTGGATTCACATGTAGGTGAGACCAGGTAAGGATGGCAGATTGCCTTCCCTAAAAGGCATGAGTGAACTAGAGGGGTTTTGATAACAGTCGACAGAAGCAGGAATATCTTACTGCCAAGATATTGTGGGTCAAAATAGGACTTGTTCAGTACAGGTTCTGATCAGTTCCGTACAATTGAAGCGAGATCACCTAGCAATGGCAAATGTTAAATTATTTCCAGCTATTAATTGCCATCAGGCCATTTTTTTTTTAACTATTCCACACTTCTATTGAATTCACATTTCACCATCTGTTACGGTGAGAGTGGAACCCATGCCTCTAGCACATTAGCCTGTGGCTTTGGATTACTAATTTAGCAATGTTGCCATTATGCTACCTCCCCTAGCCTTAAATGTAAATAATCTCTACAACCCTTTGGGGTAGAGAATTCAAAAGATTCACAACTCTTGAGTGAAAAATTAGCTCCTCAGCTCAGGACCAAACAATTAGCCCCTTATACTGAGACTGTGCTCCCATGTTTTACATTCCCCAGTTAAGGGATAAATCTTTCAGCATTTGCCTTAGCAAGACCAAATGACTGTTTGATTGTTTGCTTATGAAATTATCTGGACAACTTAACAAAACATACAGGAGTTGGCCTTTTATAATCTATTGGTGGCATAATGCTGATGTTATAAGACCCATAATCCAGAGCTGTGAGTTCAAATCTTAGCATGGCAGCAAAGGAATCTAAATGAAATTCAGGAAACGAAGCTGGTCTGAAAGGCTAGTATCAGTAATTATGATCCATTTGAATTTCTCATTAAGAAAAAAATCTTGCGTCCGAATATGCTTCAGGGGGCGAAAGTTGCTGTAGCTGCCGGTTTGGCCCTTATGTACTTCAGTGCAGTTTATTAGTAACTGCCCTCTGGAGAGGCTTAGCTGGCCATTGACTGGCACAGAGATGGGCAATGAGGGTCGGCATTGCCAACAATGCCCACATTCTCATTGAATGAAAAAGAAAGTGAGATGTTTTGTTCGGTTTTATAGAAAGAAACTGACACATTTATTGAATGTTGACCTCCAGTAGATTAGTAGAAAATACCTTAGTCGATGCCTGCCATAAAACTGCAATCCCCAGCCAATTGTTGCCTCATAACGACCTTCCGTATTGCTCGTTCAATATTTATCCGGACTCAGTTTTGTAATGTAGGATCTTGGGATCTAATGTGATGTTGTGTAGACTAAGATGTGAGTCTTTTGTAAACGAAAAGCTGACAGCTGCAGCACGCATCATGGTCATTTAATGCCTTAGAGCAGTTAATCAGCGTCAACTCCATATGAGAGCAGACAACTAAATGTAAAACATATCCTCATCACTCCTCCCTGCATATGGATTTTTGATCTTCACTAAGTCGAAGGCTCACAGGGTATGAAATCAGGAAGTTCCATCTTGTTTCCTGCAGAAAGTACTTCATGCCAATTTCCTTTTTAGGGCAAGGCGCAAATAAATTAGATGTGGCTGTCATGTTAACAATGGGGACATCATTAATGTGTGTCAGTGTTAGAAATGCAAGTTTCTCTATGGTGGAGATGTTTTCTAATCAACCTGTTCAAGGATGTGATGACACATCTCCGGAGTAGGTGGGACTTGAACCCAGGTCTCCTGGCTCAGAGGCAGAAGCACTACCACTTCACCAGCAAGCTAGAGGAAATGGAGCCCACTTTGTAGAATCATAGAATCCCCACAGTGTGGAAGCTGGCCATTCGGCCCATTAAGTCCACATTGACCCTCCAAAGAGCATCCGACCCAGACCCAATCCCTACCTTCTCCCCGTAGCCCGACATTTCTCATGGCTAGTCCACCCAGCCTGCACATCCCTGCACACTATGGGAATTTAGCATGGCCAATCCACCTAGCCTGCACATCTTTCGACTGTGAGAGGAAACCGGAGCAAACCCATGCAGACACGGGGAGGAAGTGCAAACTCCACACAGACAGTCGCTCAAGGCTGGAATCAAACCCAGGTCCCTGGCACTGTGAAGCAGCAGTGCTAACCACTGAGCCACGATGCTGTCCCACTTCCTGAACTGCCAACAGATGGTGTGCCACGGTTAAAGCTATTTCCAAAGGCACAGAGGCAGACCATTCAGCCTGACCAGTTCCTGCTGGGCTCCACTTCCACCTCTTCCCATCCTTCATCATCAGATTCTATCAGCATCAGCCTGTAGCTGTGGAACATAACACAACTATCCCAACTGAACCAATCAAAACACAAACAAGGGAAATAAAACCTTGTGCTTTTTAATTCCATTTTTATGGAATTGGTGACAGAAGTCAACTGTTTATTTGTACAACAACCCTCAACACTATCAGTCTGTTCTCAAGAGTGCTCAACTGTCCTTTATTAGACCTCAATTTGCCAATGAGATGTGACTGAGTAATATATTTTAACCAGCACCAATTGCGTGTGTGTACTCCAAATTGGATCTTTTGAAGGAATTATAGCAATATCCTGAGAGGAGGAAAGGGAGAGCTCCAAGGTTAATTGGATAAGTCAGTTAGCTAGCAGCGATTGGCAAATGAATTTTCACTGCCACTTTATCAATGGTGAGTTTGAACTTACTTATGCATTTGCTTTTATTCGTCGTTAAGTCAACTGGGCAAATCTGATTTAAGTATTTCAAAGGCTTCACAGCAGAATTGAAATTCAGTTAATGGAAGTCTTTGAACTCTGGAACGTGTGTGTGAGTCAGTATCATTCTCAATGATATGCTTTCCAAATCTAAAGAAGAACTTAATGTTTATAAGACTCTCCCTGTTTACTGTCTGCCTTTTGAATAGTCCATTAGTGGGGAGAGGAGGGCAAATTGAACTGCAGACAAATGACAGCCCAGCCCTAATGTTAATTGATTTGGACTGATGTGGAGCAAAGCGTAGCACCAATATTAATAACAACAGTGGACCAATGGTTTTCCTCGGTCCTGTTACCCCCAGACTATCTTTAAAAAAGAGCAAGTTATAGTGCCATGGTTTCTTGATTTAACCTTGCTCCCCATCCCTTTTCTCAACCTGGCTGTTTCTCTGAAAGATAGGTCTTTGTCTGTGCACTAAGGTACCAAACACAGGGTGGTTAGCTCAATTGGCTAGGCAGCTGGTTTGCAATGCAGAATGACACCAACAGCATGATTTAAACTCTAAGGACTCTGCTTCTCAACCTTTCCCCTTGCTTGAGGTGTGGTGAGCCTCAGATTAAACCATCACCAGTCGTCCCTCTCAAATGAGAGAGCAGCCCCATGATGTAGTCAGATTATGGTCACTCTACATTGCATTTAATGTAGCACCCACGTGTAGAGTGATGTGCTGTGTTTATCAAAGCCAGTGTAGTCAGCAGCTGCGTGCACTGGACAAGTGGACCATACATGGCATCCCACTCCCCGAATGATGATGAGTGACAGTTAACTGCCAAACTTTGTTTAAACTTAACCCAGGCAATTAGGAAAGATATTGTTAAACTTGAAAGGATTCAGAAAAGATTTACGAGGATGTTGCCAGGACTGGAGGGTGCGAGCTATAGGGAGAAGCTGAATAGGCTTCGACTTTTTTCCCTGGAGTGATGGAGGCTGAGGTTTATAAAATACTGAGGGACATGGATAAAGTGAGAAGGGAAAGACTTAGAACGGACCTGAGGGATAACTTTTTCACACAGAGGGCGGTGCGTGTATGGAATGAGCTGCCAGAGGTAGTGGTGGAGGCTGGTACAATTACAACATTTAAAAGGCATCTGGATGGATTTACGAATAGGAAGGGTTTAGAGAGATATGGGCCAAATGCTGGCAAATGGAGTGAGATCAGTTTAGGATACCTGGTCAGCGCAGATGAGTTGTACTGAAGAGTATGTTTC